GAGCATGCGGGCGACATCGACCCGTGGCGCACGGACAAACATTTCTATCTGTGTTGTCAATTTTTTTCGTTTGTTTTCTGACTTTCCGTGTTGGTTTTGTGTGATGACGTGATGACATCTTCACCGGTTTTAAAGAGGGACCCGTCAGAGATGGCGTGGCTAACCCGGGTGCATTGGTTTTGTGCCTGATCGTGGAAGACCCCTTCAATGTGGAACGATTCTTAGCTAGTGTCGATATGTTTCACTGCAGTGACTACACAGACGATCGGGAGAGATTCGGGTGATTNTGCTACTGTAGTCGAACGGTGGGACGGACGTGCAGTTCAGTTTTTGGGCACGCATACGGTGCTGCAGGGATTTTCAGGTGTACCTCTTCGGGCTCTTGGATACCTTTTTCTCGTTATATGTGTGCGTGTTGTTTAGATCCTCAGATGGCTCTAGCACTTTCGTGACCACGGGCTCAGAGTCTTTTGCTAGATTTTGGCATTTAGCAACTGACATACGGTTTAATGTGAAGACAACAACAACAACAACATGAAAAAACCTTACCAACAGGAATCGATGGGTCGTTCAACACGCACGTATTTTGGGCTGCTGTTAGTCCGCAACCGGCATGATGTATGTAGTTTGCCTCGTGCTGTATACCTTCTTTGTTCATCAGATTGCGTGAAGTTCCCGTTATTTTCCTTTCGACGTGCACAAGGTGGGTTCTGCAGCAAGCGGCAGCGGTGATGCGAAGGTGCGCGTACGGTTCACGCCATCAAGGCCGCGGCTGCGCTCACGCCAAGCTCAGGTGGAACATGATGTTTGCTTGACCCCGTTGTACATCAAAGCATCAACGAATTCCACTTGCGTCTTGCGATCAGTCGATCAATATTGGTCGATCTTTGCGCGACACGAACAGTAATGTTTCCGTCGAAAGTTCTCTAGCATTATCTCTCGTATGTGAGCAGCCGTCAGAGAGCACCGGTGGGCTTGTGACGCTTACCCTCTGCTGCTATTGTCGTCGTCATTGTCGTTGTCGTTGTCGTCGTCGTCGTCGTCGTTGTTGTTTTGCTGTTGTTGTTGCCATTATTGTTGTTGTGTTTTTGGTGCTTGCCCTCTGCTTGTATTGTCGTTGTTGTTGGGCCGAGTCGGGGCCAAGCGATGATATATTCCTCCCCGGACCCCCCGCTGCTCGACAAATCGCCGAGAAATACGGAGATAAGATGAGCAAAAAAACCCCCGCACCGCAGGATAACCATGGGATGGGGAAACGCGAAGAGGGTCCAGATGTCGGCAATTGTTCGACAAGAATGGAACGGTGCTGCTTCGTTTCGAAAGGGATGGTTAATGATTCCCGCTCAATTGTACCAATGAAATAGGCCCAATTAAGTAAGAAAAGAGTTACGCCCCCCCCCCCTCGGCAACCAGGTTACCGTTTTTTTTTTTGACGGTAACCATAATGGTGGTCGAGTAGATGATGTTGTGCGGGGTGGAGAACCCTCGCTCCGCGCAAGGGGGATGATCGCACCACGTTGTGTTAAAATGGTCAAGCACCCTCGAGGCAGTTACACAGTGCTTACAACTGTCTCTGGAAGTGAAAGCACCAGAAAATAAA